AGCTTTCATGACGATAGTGCGCAACAGTAACGAGCTGTAATTGTGAACGATTTTAAGACCAAAAACTCTTTCAACCCCATCTATTAACCACGATATTCAACGGATTTGGCCCCATGCGACGAAGCCGAAAAATCATCTTCGGTGGGTGCGTAAGTAAGCGGTTTTGGAGTGAGGATCAGCTAGAAGCATTGCAAGAGCTACTAATGAATCCAGAAAAACTCAGTCACAGTTTGGTGCGGTTTATGGGCTGGTGTCATCATTTGACCGTACTTCTTCAAAGAAGATGCGAATCGTAACTGTGAATGGTGAGCGAACTTTTTTTTGCCCGAAATGCAAGAGCTTGACTTGACAAGACGGTGCCACATGCCACACAGCACGCGTAACAATGGACTTATTGATGGCCGAGTTCGGGGAACATTTTATTTCACGTTCGGTACCGGTCAAGACCGCCCAGATCGTGCGATTTAACGACTTTAGACTAGTTTTAGTGGTGCTATGTCAAATCTATTGTCTATACAGACAAGTCCACTTCAATTGACGCATTGGAGGACAACATTGAAGCATTTATTCGTGAGATACCGGCCGAAATGTTGGATAATATGCCAAAATTGGACTAAGCGGAAACAGCATTTGACACGAAGTCACGGTCAACATTTGCTTGAAATATTCTTCAAACTTAGAATTGTATGGGCCACAAATTATCGATTCAAAAAAGATTTCTTGCACTTTTCTGAATTTTATGTGTTTTTTTTAACTTTCCTATAGCTCTTAAAAATCGTACTTTAGTATCAAGCGTTCCATTTCGAGAATATATCGTAGGAAATTTCCAGAGCTGAGTATGCAGCAGTCAATGAGTTACAAAGTGATCTTGTCGGTGACATTATGGGTGTAAAGTGAAAACAATAGAGTGTTAGAGTTGTACAAGTAGTCACCGTGTATGGTGACGATAGCAGACGCTGGTCTCGAACTAAATCATAAACAGTGCTCATCATTCAAGAAGGAATTGAAACACCTGAGTCATCAGGTAAGAACAAAAGACATTTGCGAAGAGTAAAATAGAAAAAAGAGACCCAGGAATTACCATGAGATATAGAGTTTTCTTAGACCATTCGCTTACTATCGCCGATTTCTTTCGAATTTGGACAGCGTTGATCATTGGGTCCAAAAACTCACTAGAAAAAATAGAACCTTCGAGTGGAAAAAATGGAGGCCTTCCAGCCTCTGAAGGAACGGAAAATTCATATTAATCGAAAAATGTCTATCCTTTTGGTTGAAACATTTGGAAATATTAACTTAAAAGAGATTAATATCTGTTCGTATTTTCCCCAAAAATGAAATGCTGTTGTTAATGTCAAATCGTTAACATATACAGACCTATTCTGAATGAAAATTCCTCGGGGGAGAAAAGTGGAGAAAGTGAGAACTTTTCACTCCTCTCCTATCATAAATAAACAAATTTTGCGGATTTTTTTTTCTTTTTTCCTTGAATATTATTTTAAACAAACTTCAACAAATGAGTAAAAAAATCAGTGGAAAAGATTACGGAAGAAGGTAAAATATGACGGCATACCCTTTAGCTCCCTCTGGGAAGGAATATTAATCCAGAAGGACTACAGTACGTCCATTAAAATGGCTGTAGCTAATCATCAAGAGCAAAAAGGAAATTTAAGAAAAATTTATGGAATGTGAAATAAAAAAAGATAAAGAAATTGAACCAATTAAGAAAGAAAAGTTAGAGGGGCTTAAACGGAAAAACCGTTTTATTGGAGAAATTAGAATAAAAGACGAGGATAAAATTTGAAAAAAAAATTCTTTGCCATTCTTCCTCATATGCTTTAGCAGCCAATAAATATTACACCGCATGACCGAATTTTATTTTGCTTCCCCCTGCGGGTTAGGGGGCCAAGAATTTACCCGCGCTAAGGTATGCTTGCGACAGTAGGATATTTTATCCGGCTGTCACTCCCGCCACACTCCTTAAAAATTCCGTTATGGAATATTTTCATGGTTACAACAACAACAACACCACCTTATTTTGCTTTGCTAATATGGAAAAGATTTCATTTCGCTAAGGGGTAAAGCCACGCGGTTTTTTGTTCCGAAGTAATCGGTCCTCCCGCCTTTAAAAAAAACATGGATTAAATACTGGACTTTATCACCGTCATTTTGTAACAAAATAATAATTATAGAATATTTTTTTTATACTTCAATATACACTCGGCAGAAAAAGTCTGCGTACATAATACCAACCAAAATAATTCATTAAATAAGGTTTATATTTATTTTTTAAAAAATCCAATTTATTTTGTATTAATTATTGGATATTAAATTTGTAAATTTATGAAAATAAAAGGAATAAACTTTCTAATAATAACATGCAAAAAAAAAAAAGAAAACACACAGGCGACTAGAAAATTCATGAGAAAAATCTGCGTACAAGGTTCTTAGGTCGAACAAAGGCATTCTTCTTCCGAATTCCACTTAGAATTTAATGGGGAGTCGAATATGCTCTATGTTTTAAAATTTCCGCTAGGCGTTTTGGCATCGAATCAATAAGTTTGGAGGTGTCTATCGAATATATTTCAGTCCATTCCTCGTGCAGTACATCCTTGAGCATAGCCTTTGAGGTAACTGTGCATTGGCACTGGTGTTCGAAGCTGCTTGGAAACATTGTAGAGCAACCACAGCTTCACTATGTCCGCTGTATGCTTCGGGTCGTTATCTTATTGAAAGTAGTAGTCACTTTCTAGACCCAATTCTTCAGCACTTTGCTTCCAATTTCTTTTCAAAACGTTAAGATATGCATATTTGTCTGTAGTGGACTCTATAAATTCCATTCTGCCCACACCATTACGGGCCATGCACCCCCATATCATTGCTCCACCACCACCATGCTTCACAGTGGGCACCAAGTTTTTTGGGCGGTTTTGGATGCTGAAAGTCGGGGGTTTTGCTTCACATTCTGTAAAACGTTACGAGTTTCACGCTGTGCTAATATTTTTGGCCGCCCTGAAAAGGTCCGAGAGACTTAAATGCCGGTATCTTTGTAATTTTTTATCACTCTTTGGATGGAAGAGTGTGTTCTTCCAACAATCCGACCAATTTCACGGTATGTTTTTCCTTCTTCGAAAAGTTTAATTAATATCTCTTTCAGAACAGTATATTTCTTCTCCTTTGGACGACCTTGCTATTATAAAGTTAATAATAAGTGGAAGATATTTGAGATCTTTTAATATTACTGGTCTTATGAAAAAAGTAAAATTATAATTTTCCTACACTATCACACTTGGTTATAACTTACTACTTGTACGCAAACTTTCTCTGCGCTGCCAAATGAATATTTTTTTTTAAATTCAACGATAAATTAATGTTGGCAATTTTTTTTGTTTTAAGTGCTATTACATTATGTAATATACAAGCAATAAAACACATAATGCGATTGCACTTATTACTTATTTTTTAACAAAAGCAAATAAGATGTAAGGGTGTACGCAGACTTTTTATACCGAGTGTATGTTCTTTCTTCTCCCATATTCCTAAAATAAATCTTTTAAAATTAGTATATTTTTCAACATCTAGAGCGGCTTTACCACTTACAGGCCTATTCTGTCGAGGTGACAAAATTTAACTAGGTATTAAAATTTACCAATCACTATATTTTGTTACCATTTCGTATTCTGAGCTCACTGTTACCCTGTAAATTTTGTTACCAGCGAAATAGGAGGTAACAAAAATATCTGCTGTTTGATTTTGTGTTGTAAGTTTGAGAAAAAATAAAAAACCAAAATGGGTAGGCATATTTTAGGCATTGAAGATGAAGAAAACAATTCCAAAAACGGTATTTTAAGAAGTTTTCGAGACTAAAAAATAGCCCTTTAATTACTAAGATAAGGTTTTCATTCAGCTTCTTTTGTTGTCCAGGCGTATTTTCCATAATTAGGTTCAAATATTTATGATTTAATAAACAAATTTCTAAAACATTTTAATTTTTTTGTACACCATCTTCCATTTCGATGTGAATATTTTTATTTTTCCTTTATCAACTGGCAAATGTAATTTGACATTGACGAAAAAAGCAGTGTTGCCAAATTTTTTCAAAAATTGTAACCAGTTCGCCAGAATACCAAACTCAATTTCGGGTGTTAAAAAAAAGTAAAAAAAATTACTTTACCGGTAACTATGAGAATAGGCCTGTTAAAGTAATTTTTATTTTTGACAAACGGCATGATATCGTTGCGTTTGTTGAGTACCTTCATGGAATGTATTGACCGCATATCGTCAATTTTTTCATCGTCGGGCTAGTACCTCGCCTGTTTGAGTGCTGCCTTAGCCCACAGAACCGCATTCTCCGCATGGCGGCTTCTACAACAGCATCGCAAAAATACTTCAATTGCACACATGGCAACCTTGTTTAATCGTGTTTATATCGTAAACGAGTTCTCCAATTCCTTTCACTCATACATTAGCGGATTCCGTGTTGTTGTTTATGGCAAGATCATTTTTAGTCGCACTCGTTCAAACATACACAATACATATTCATACACTTTAGTTGCTCTCTCTGCTCACTTTTTTGCTTGCTGGCGAATTGTTGCACTATGCATGACATGTGTGTTTGTGTGTGTGTGTGTGTGTGTGTGCCGGCAGCTGTCCGTTTTGTGAGTGCGAAAGATAAAAAGACGAGAAAACGACAAAACTCATGCAAGAACAATTGAGTGGTTGAGCGCAGAGAAGCATGCGACAGTAGAGAATACGTTTAAGAAGCGAAGCGAAGCAGCCAAGCAACGAAAACAAAAACACAATGAAGAAGAAGTGTAGGTAAAAAAAAATGAAAAGATTTTGATCGTTTACTTTTGCCGTTACTGCTTCTTCCTCTTCTTCTTATGCTTCGCCCATACGTTGCTAACGTCGCTGTCGACGTCGACGTCGACGTCGCTGTCATTATTCGCCGTTTCGGTGGTTCTTCATTTGCTTTTAACAAAACAGAATCTCAGTCTCAGTTTTTACACAGAATTCGTCGGTGTGTCTGTATAAAATTTATTTAAACAAACCGCAAATATATACATACATACATAAATGTGAATTTAGCAATTGTGCAAACCAAACCAAACAAACAAAACCAGTGTCATACATTCAATTGAAAGTAAAGTGTCCAATAAAGATTCATGTTTTGAGTGTCTACAATCTGGATATATCCAATTTAAAGTAAAATCGCCAAACGATAGCGCATGGAAAATTTTGTAAGTGATCCTTGGCCGAATTCCATCAACAGTTGGCCGCCATAAAACAACAGAAAAAACAACAGAAATCTCCTGGTGGTTGTTTATTTCTCGCAACGATCACTGACGCATTAAATCCCTACAGTACAGTATTATTGTGTGTGCGCAGTGTGCATTGCCTTTGTTGTTGGGGAAACGAGAAATTCGTGTCATTTCAATTTTTTCCTTGTTGAAAATTGTTTATATTTGTATATTAGTAATTTCTGTCGTGTTTTTTTATTTTAATTTTATTGTAACTCGTATTTCGTGTAATTATTTGTTTAACGAAAAAATATATATTCATAAATACGCGCGTGTTGTGTGTCCTTGTGCATGCCGTCGAGGTGTGTATCCTTTGTGCTAAACAATATTCGCGTCACGGCCGTATAACGTTCGGCCTTTTGAGCGTATTTTACGGCCTCCTGCTTGCCAGTGAGTGTGTGTGCGTGTGTGTGTTTTCAATTTAACAGTGGTATATGCATGCCATCCTTCAGTACTTTCGGTTATGTAAAAGAAATTGACTTCTTCGTCATCCCTCACCTATGACATTTGCAAATCGAGTTAAAAGTTGGTCAGCTGATGTATGACCTACTGAGTTGATGGCATTAATTATATGCATACATATATAATTATTAATAAAACAATTTTTTTATTTTTCAGTTTGTTTCAAATACAGAATTATTTGTTTGAATCCATCATCATTGGCATCAAGGCGTGTCACGATTTTTTTAATACGATCATTGTGTGTGTTTATGAATTTGATTTTTGCCACTCAAATATAGTCCAAATTAATTAAAGTGTTGCTCTTTTGTGTTGACAAAATTTAAAGTGACGTATCTTTTCGGAAAAAAGTAGACGAAAACTATATAAAAAATAAAATAAAATTTGCATATCAGGAAAAATACCTGTGGCGTAAATTTTTGAAAAACATTGTGCAAAGCGTATGCCAGTTTGCATCATTGCACCCTTCAAAGCGATTTGATTATATTGCTCACCCAGCGATTTGCTTCTTGGATACCATTATTATTGTGCAAACGTAAGTCGTAATAAATCAAATTAAATTACCGTATATTTTAAATTTTTTCAATTCACCACTGTACAAATCTACCAGCATATCTACTGGCTCTATTATTATCTGTAAATCTTTGTCTATTTCAAACAATTTGAACAATTTTTTTTGTGTATTTATTCATTTATAACAACTCGTAATCAATAACAAATGTTTAAGTCACTTGTAAATAGTCCGTATGTTTTCGTTTCATCTCTTCTCTTATAATTCTGCACTCTACACACTCGTCTTTTACCATAATTAACAACTTCTTTGTGCGTCATACGATCCAACTTTGTTTCCAGCATTATGCTCTTCATACACACATATATGTATGTATGTATGTATGTATGTGTATATATGCGCTCTTTCGCTTCTTCGGGTTTGTTACCTGTGCACATGTTGTCTTACCTGTTTCCTCTTCCTTCATCTTCTGGCGTCGGTCTTTTAATGAAAATTTCCCTTAATGCGTTCGTGTAATTTTTCTTGCCAGTGTTGGTACTTTGCATTGCTGATCCTTGATGTTAATAGTTCTCTGTGAATTAGCGTAATTTTTCTTAAAATTTAAGGGGTTACATAGGTCTCGAAACTTCAAAAAAATCATTTTTTTTGATAATTTTTTGTATAAAAACTCAAAGTGTCAGTAATATTTTCCTCAAGTTTCAAGTCGATCGAGGCTAAACTGTAGAAATTAGAGAGTTTTATAACCCGCCGTCTTTGTCATGGCTTGACCGATGGCGACACTTTCAACGCGTTTTTCTTAAAACCACTTTATCGAAGACGGTAGTCAAAATTTCTCAACGACTATTCAAATTTTCCACACTTTTAAGAATGTTTTTGTAGTCCCTAAACGAAGGATTTCTTTTATCTTTGATTTCAACTCATTTTACAAGCCAATGTGTGGCCTAATTTTATGCGAAAAATGCTAAAAAAAATTCAATTTTTTAATTTATCTTCGTTCTGGGACAAGGAAAATTCACCTACTTTAAGAAAAAAATTGGCTTTTTGATTTCAGATAAAAAATGAAAAAGTTATTATCATTATTATGACTGCCATCGCCTTAATTTATATATTATATATATATATATATATATATATATATATATATTTTTTTTTATTCAAATTTTCATCAGATGTTTTTCACATATTGTACTTTTATACTTTACATACATACTTTATTTAGTATCTTTAAAAAAAAATTAGAGAAAATAAGCTTTTTTTGGCCTTCTAGACCTAAGTAACCCCTTAACTTTCTTTTCATATAGCATTTGTTTCTTTTGTTTTTGTACAAATATTAAAAGTAGTAGTATTTAAATAATTCAAACCAATCCACTTTTCAATTATAAGGGTTGTTTATTGAAACTAAAAATACTCAATAGAGCAGCTCAAATTTGAGTGGCACAATCGATCAATTTAGACTAACTCTCGGACTTGAAATGCGCCAAGCAAAGCGAATTTATAGAAGGTGAAGTTGTCACATCATATGATTGCTTATTCTGCCTTCTATTTTAATAAAGTACACGAACAAAAAAAAACAAATACATGAGAAATAAGTTTTAACTCCTTGAATGTTCGTTTACACAAACATTTTATGGGTTGTCGAAAATTGTAAAATAAATTTGCATAGTTTTATCTTTGAAAACGGCATAACTTTTGGATTATAAAACTCTAAAGCCTTGCGAAGTTATTTTTTTTAAATTTATAATAATTACATTAAAAAGAGGTTTAATAGTTTTATGTCGAGTAAATGTAGTTTAATTAAAAAAAATTTCATTTTTGAAATTCAATATTATTTTTTAACAAAATTTTCTATAGGCAGCAACTCTAATTTTTGGTGTCATGTAATACGATTGGCTTGAATACAATCGAGTAAATAATGTCTAAACCGTTAAAACCGTCAATTTTCTAAACAAATTATATATAAAATATTTATACGAATTAAATATAGAAATCCATTTTCGCATAATATCTTTAAGTGCGAAAAGCTTTTGGGAAATGGATAATTCTTATTTTGGGAAAAATTCGGGTTTAAAAATTCGAAGCGATAAAAAAGTGTGACAAAAATTTGGAAAAAAAAATTTTGTAAGTGCTTTATATTAATATTTTCTGAAAATTTAACCGTTAACAGTACCATGTTATAGTAATAATAATATAATTTAATGGCAAAATTTTTTAAGCTGAAAACTTAAAGTTCTGGTATTAAGAAAACGTGAATTCATCGAACAGTAAAATATACGAGTATAATTTATAGAATTATAATTTATATGCAATAAAGGAAAGGAGTATTGCTTGCATATACATTAATGTTGTTGTTGTAACCGCAAAATTATTCCCCAAAGTACTTTTTGGGGAATGTTGCGGAAGTGACAGCCCTTCGCCGGATAAAAATCCGGGTCGTTCGGGTATAAAGATCCGATTGTCGCGGAAACTATTGGATTTTAGTCGCCTCTTAGGACAGGCATACCTTACCGGGAGTAAGTTCTTGAGTCCCTTACCTGCAGTGGGGATATACATTAATAATACATAGTACTTTAAAAAAAAACATACCTATATGTACGTCTTCACGCCACCGCAGCCTTCGGCCACCTGAATCTTGGCTTGATGAACAAATGCTTGCGGTTCGCTAATATTTGTGTAATCTTTTTTTGGTATGAAAAATCGCCAAAACAAAAAAAAAATATTGTATCTTTTTTTTTTGTATAAGAAAGCATTTTCCCTCTGATACAAAAATTCTATAAGGTAGTTTCACTTCGAAATGATTGACACTAAACGTGTTTGCTCAGAAATGTTTGATCCTATAAAACTTTCAATTTGGAGATTTTTTATTTATTTTGGAGTTATTTTCTAAACAAATGCTTATAATATTGAATACACATGTGGGGCTATTAAAATATTTGTTTCAAGTCGTTTTTTCATGGGCGGCAAAAGTAAGAAAATAATTTGCTAGACAGATAAATAATTTTTGAATCTTAGGCTTTAAGATTTTCTCAACTACATACCAAAAGTTCGTGGTTTGTGCCTCGTCGATGAGCTGACCAGATAGGTATCTTACAGATTTCTAGGAAATTTCTTGTTCGCTTGCTTAACATAGCTTGCATGCCTAGGCATCATTAATCTCCTGCAGTTCGTAAAATACTCCAACTGGTTTGAGTATCTAGAAAGGTAAGAGGAATCTTCTTTATAGAACCCACATAGGTATCATCAAGAGATCAAGCGCTGTTTAACTAACTGGCTGACTTAAATAAATATTTTTGGCGATTAGTTTGAATTCGGAAGTGTTTGAAAGTTTAATTGACTTCAAGCGGTTATAAGATTTTTATAAAGAATTTGCGCTGCTCGAAAAATTCAAAAATTATTAAAACAATATCCTTTTTGCTTAAAAAATTTTTAATACATCCCTAAAACTGTGAGTCTAATTTGCATTCAAACATCAATAAATCAAATGCAGCTAGCTCCTCATATTCTTGAATTCCATTTAAATTTTGGTGGACGAATATCTTTCTCCCCTTTCTGATACTTTCCTACAATTTAGTAAAGTTTTAATACAAAAATCATAAAAGGCTTACACTCGATGAAGTCCACTATCAGGGGTTGGAAAATATGTAATTTTTGAATATTTGAACATTAAATAAATATGAAAATTTTCCTCATATTGTTTATTTGAAAATGGTAGATTTTTTTAAAAGAAGAGGGTAGCACAAAAAAGCCGAAACACGTTTAATGTCAGAGAGAGAATGAAGCTTTGTAGCTTTAAATGATTGTATCATGGTTTCTTCTATTTATTTTATTAGGGACGCTTATAAATACTTTTTTTTAATAAAAATTATTATTATTTATTTTCATGATTTAAGTATCAAATCCCGGAATCTGTATATATGACGAAGTTGGTTCAAAGACGACAACGGTTATCGTAAATCTTGGACTAAACAAACAAAATACTCTACATATTACACTACCATAATAATCAGAGCAGAATATCGTGCTCTGAGTTGCTCTTTTTCTGCTTAGAACAGACCCATGGTGGAACCATTACAAGGTGTAATCAGAAAATTCACCCCGTTTCTTCGGTGGACTTATTCCAGTAAAGATTTTTAGAGTAGAAAAAGGTTGCAAAAAATGTATACCCTCTCTTACCACTTTTTTATATTGTTTTATTGCAAAGGATTGTGTATTATTTGTTATGAACGAATGGTCGTACAATTTGATATACAATTCTATTAATTAATAGCATAAACAATGGCTTAATAGTTAATAACAAACGTTAATTTCCATTAATAAAAGAAAAAGACACCTCATTTAAGGCAGTTCAAATTCCCATACCCTATAAGAATGACAAAGAAGAGAGCTAAATTTTTTAATTTGCCACGATCATTAAACCGAACAGAATGGTGAATGGACACCTTTGCGCTACTCGAAGCAGCAATTGCGAGCCGTATTACGAGTTGTGGTGTAGTTTCACCTGATCACAATTATTTCTGGAGTTCCTATTTCGAGAAGTCCAACTGAAAGAAATCAATTTGAATGGTTTTACGATTCTTTCTGCATAAATTGCTGAAATTTTTTTGGATTTACATTTAGTTAACTCCCTAAGCACATGTATCCAAATAAAAACATCTTCTTCACTCAGCAGTTAATGAATATAAGCGTATATCCTAGTCAGGATTTCCACTTTTACTCCTTAATGTTTAATATTCCCATAAATTGAATCCAAGTTTATTTTATTTCCAGTTGAAATTGACAAGTTTTAGGCCATCTTTATGAAAGCAACTTTATCTGTTGGACCAGTCTAAAGAATTGCTTGAATGAAGTATTCATTATATTATTTTTGATTATTTCAATTCCAATAAGGTTGCCGATTTTGTCAAAATTACGAGCTATACGTTGCTGTCGAACACACAATTTTTTGATTTCACCAGACTCATGACACGAAAAGTAGAGTAAATAAGAGCAAAAAAGTTTTCATGAAACACCAATTTTTGAAATAGAGA